GGGGGGAGGGTCGCCAAGGATTGGAACAAGGGAGTCCGAGGAGAATATTAAGAAGCAGCGGTATCCCTGCTCAAGAGAGAGAGAGAATGGAGGAGAGAGAGAGAATGTAATGAGGGTACTAGGACGTTCTTTGAAAGCGAACCGGGACAGAGAGATAGTGGAGCTACTACCAGCGACTCTCTCCCATCTTCTTCTTATGCCTCAGTGTCTGGCTTCGGATCCATCCATCGGTACATGACACGTCCGTGCAGCGGCTGTACTTGTCGAAAGTTTTGCACTTTCCTTCCGTTCAGCGCTTGGACGAGATCGGATATGGTTTCGAAATGGCGGTCGCAGATAGGAAGCGGATTCTTGAAGACGTACCAAAGAAGGCCCTCGGAGCAGGGAGGAGTTGTGAGGCTGCCTGGGTAGTAATGGAAGTAAGTTCCGTCAGATGGCAAGAGATGGGACAGGGAGAAGCCGGGCAGCTGCACAGGGAAGAGATCGTGAGGACCGCGATGCAGCAGCTCTGGTACCGCAGCCAGCAACTTCTCTAGGTAGGGATCGCAGTCCGCGCCGCCGGTGGTGCGGTTCATGAACACTGCCCACACTCCTACACTCTCTCTCTCCTCCCCGCCGCCATGACGCACGTGCACGCAGTGAATCTCCACGTCGAAATGACTGCCGTCTATTTCCGTCTCCGAAAGACAATGCAGGTGGCATTGCGTCAGATGGAAGGTCTCGGCGCGAGGCTTCGATCGGGAGCCGCCGTTGGGAGCATAGCTACTTGCATCCCACGAGTCCGACAAGTTGTACGGCTTGTCAACGTCAAACATCGGCAGACGAATGCGGTTATCTTCGTGGAAAGAGATCTCAAACGTGTGGTTGTTGTGATAAACGGACACGTTAGCTTGGACTTGAGGATAATGTCCGCGCTGGCGAAGGTCGCCCAGCGCGGGAACGTTAACAACGTCCTTGAGGACGATGTCCACAGGCGATTGGAATCGCGACTTGGGCTCCGAGCACACACCACCCCAGTCGCCACCATGCACAGAATAGGCGTACGGAGGATCCTCGGAGTGAGCAACAGGTTGGGCGGCAGGCTGGGCGACGGAGTGCTGGGAGGCGGCGGCATCACCGCTGGTAGACTCGCTCAGAAGACGGCGAGAAAGAGACCAGTGGTCGCGCAAGCCAGGAGAGGAGGCGACGAGTGGAAGTGGAGAGGTGGTCAGAAGCGCCGCCACGATCAGGACCAAGATGAAAGAAATGCCCGAGGGACACGCTCCAGCGTAAGAGTCTCGCACCGGTCGACCGGTCGAACCCCCACCGAAAGGAACTTGGACTCTATTCGGCGCCGCCGCCGCCGCCGCCGCCGCCGCGTTGACAAGCACTCGATACGCCCGGGAGTCCTCCATGTCCGTCTCGCTGCTCGTCGGCAATCTCCTCAATCTTAATAAGCAGTTATGACTATGACGGCTTCCTGAATGTGTCTCACGGCAATCAGGGGTCGAACCTCGATGAGTGTGGTCGGAATCAGGTCCAGAGCCTAGAAGAAAAAGTGCTAGTGTGACTAGTATTCCCTAAGATCAGAAGAACGATGGAATGATCTATCTATCATGGCATTAAAAAAACGAATTATCCCAGCGAAAGAGAACTAAACGGTAGTCACAAATTGATTACTCCATCGAGGTGTCTGACTCACTGGCAAAAATGTCAATGGCCTGATGTAGCATCTGCCACCTGGGCTAATCTCGTAAATTGCCCCACCTTGCCACCAGAATGCTCGCACTCCTTGTCTCCCTCAAGAGAGGCACACGAGACTTCAAAGAGACCCTTACCTCCCTAAGAATAGACACCCATAACTTTAAAAAAGACCCTTTCCTCCCTCAAGAGACACATACGACCTCAACAAGACAAATTTGCCGAAACACCTCTCTCTCTCTCTCACACACACACACACACACACACACACACACACACAGATATCTCCTCTTCAGAGTCGTCACTTTTCTCCACAGTCCGCACCACGGCGGGTCACTCGATGGCGTGCAGACTAGTCCGAGCGGAGGGAACAGCTAGAGATGGAATGATCTAATCGTTCAAGCGGCAGCGATAGCGTTGACGTCAACTGTTTCCGGTGCGGCAGCAAAAAAACGTTGACGTCTACTGACTCCAGTAAAAGCAGCCGCGCACGTGCCACCGTTGCCGAGTGTTCATGCAGTCCGGAGCAGTGATCAACGGCAGTCGAGTTCACAGACACGAGTGAAGTACTGGTGCTAAGGTGGGTGAGGGAGTTGATCACGGGAGCGCTGCCAGACAGCGAAGTGCGGGGCAAGCTCGGAAGAGCAGAAAAAACCGCTGCCCGTCCGCGCTGACCTCTTCACAGACTGGAGGGGCGAATTGACCGCCAATTCCAGTCTTTACCACCACGCCTGTTCGCAGTAGTACGACTACCTATGTCTACCTTTATATACACACGTGCGCGTACACGCAGGCACACACACACACAAAGGGCGTCGCCACACCACTCTCGAAATGTGAAAAAGACAAAAATGTGTCGGGTGCATCTGGCCATGTTCTAGCGGAAATTTCATTCTCATTTTGCACATTTCGAGAGTGGTGTGGCGATAGCCAAAGGTAGAGCTCGAGGCTACCCGGTGATAGCAGGGGCATCGCCTAACGGCTCGCAGATGCAGAAAAGACAAAAATGATAGCGGTGTATAGGTCCATAGTTTTGCGCAAGATTCGTTCTCATTTTTCGCAGTGGGTGAGTGATGCGCCGAGGCTCAATGATAAGCTTCCTCCCTCTCCACTCCAATAATTAGCGACAGTCTGACAGACGAGAGAGCTGCCGGCAGGGGCCTGCCGTAGTTCCACTGCTCGCCAACAGTCCTAATGCACGGGGCGTAGATTCTGTCCAGATGCGTTCGAAATGTCGGCGCATGCGCATGTGGGTGGTTCAACCTGCTGATTCACCCAAACCGTCGTCGACTTCTACTGACGATTCTCCGATCCGTCTCGCCGCACTGCTAACCAAGGGAGTCGCCATACCACTCTCAAACTCAAAATGTGAAAAAGACAAAAATGTGGTGGGTGCATCTGGCTATGGTCTAGCGCGAAGTTCATTCTTCTCCTTTCGCTCATTTCGAGACTGGTGTGGCGATGCCCCAAATGTGCAAACTGGAGCATGGGCGATTGTATGTCCGGCCCTCGCCACACCACTGTCGAAACGAAAAAAGTACGAGTGTGCATCTCCCCGGAGAGAATTCAACGAGTGCATCTTCCCGGAGAGAATTTCAACGAGTGCATCTTCCCGCAGAGAATGGCAAGATGCATCCGTTACGGGTGCATCTTACTGCTTTGTGAGGAAGTTACATTCCTCTAGAACGTCGAATTATCATACACCCGCCATCGCTTTCGTCGTTTTTCACATTTCGTGAGGGGTGCCGCACTGTTTGTCCGTCAGCTGACGAGCCCCAGTGAGCGGTTCCGTCAGCTGACGAGCCCCAGGTAATTAAGAATGAATGCCGGAGCAGAGCTTGGCCAGCATGGCGGGTGGGGAGTCTGCCGTAGCTATGTTGGGAGTGGGTGCTGGGCCTCGCGGCGCTGCATGCTTTTCTTCGCCGCCTGCAATACGCTATATGGAGCTATGACCAGGGCACCGATGGTGCATCTGGCCGGAGATTCGAAGACAATACATGGAGGGTGGTTGGTGTGAGTCGTCTGCTTCAACTCTTTTGGCATCTTCGACTCTGCTACGTTGCGCATTGCCAGCGTTTCAGGACAAGTGGTTTTGCATGATTACCTGCTTTCTACTTGAAAGGGAGTGGGCAGTTGGGCGGGTTTGTTCCCTATTTTGAAAGAGAGTGGACCTGGCCTGTGCGGGCTTGTTCCCTATTTTGAAAGAGAGTGGGCCTGTGAGCGGGCCTGTGGGCCTGTGAGCGGGCCTGTGAGCTATTTTCCCGAGCGGTTATTTCTGGTCGTTCGCATCGCGTGGTGAGTATTGGTAGTTTTGGAAGGAGAGTCGGAGCTATTCGGCGTGTTGAGCAACTGATTGGTGGCACGGTAGGTTAGGGTTGTCCGTGTTTTTGTTCTGAGATCGGGTTGTTTTTTGGTACTAGGTTTCTTTTCAGCCACTACGCTTTTGTTTCTCAGGATGGTTTGGATAGGTTTGCGTTTTGCTGTCCGTGTTTTCGCTCTGAGATCGAGTTGGTTTTTGGTTTTAGGTTTCTCTTTAGTCGGTAGGTTTTGTTACTCCGAGTTTTTTTGGTGTTTTTGGGGACTCCTGGTGTTGGGGAATGGTTTGGATAGGCTTACGGTTTGCTGTTCGTGTTTTCGCTCTGAGATAGAGTTGTTTTTCTGCTCTGGGTCTCTCTTCACTCGGTAGGCTTTTGTTTCTCTGTGGTTTTTCGGTGTTTTTGCGATGCTGGTGTTGAGAATGGTTTGGATAGGCTTACGTTTTGCTCGATGGACACTTTGGTGATGCTTCGAGGCTTTCTCTAGGTTTTCCTTCGTTTTAGGTTTTGGTTGTGGGGTTCGGTGGTTCGTTTTCGCCATAGGTTTTTCGTGATACGATTTTCATGGCACTTTGGTGGTATTAGGAATTAGTTTGTTGAGCAGTGTTTTTGCTTTTGGGTTTTCTACAGGGGGATGGCTCGGGATGGGGAGTACACCCGAGGCCAGTTGCCCTCTGTTATTTTTACCTTATTCTCTGCTATGATGATGTAAGCCTTGGGCACTGGGCCCATTCGTAATAAAATTTCCATCGAGGAAAAAAACAAAAAAAAGAATGAATCTTAGAGTTGTTCAGTGATTGTTTTTGCTTTTTTTTCCCCTTAAACCACCAGTACCTGGCCCAGCTATCGGACGCAGCCCTTCCCGTATACGCGCCGCGTCGGGAGGGGCACCTACCTTGCAACGACCGGTACCGCCCAAAAGCCGGAATCAAAAACGGAAAAAAAAAAAAAAAAAAAAAA